CTTTCATTTCGTCGATATTAGATAAATAGATTTTATAGTTTGACATCGTTGAATTTTTTCTTCTTTCGTTGTAAACAAGCAGATAAATAATAAACGAAGAGAAGGATAATGTATTTCTATGAACAGATCAAATGTATATATACGTAATTGAAAATTGAATAGAGAATTGAATAGAGAGAGAGAGAGAGAGAGAGAGAGAGAAAGAATGATCTTTAAACGGTTTCTATATCATTATAATATTAATTTGCGAACAAGAGTCTATGAATTTATTACAATAAAATAGTAACTTCATTGTTCATGTAAAATGATCATATTATATGATTACGATACGTAAGATTACGTATAGATATTTATTTACGAGATAGATATTTATTTAGATGAAATCGAGTACTATAGATCTTATTCAATTTGACAAAGAAAAAAAAAAAAGAAAAAAAATATTATATATATATATATATATATATAATATAATTTGATAAATATAAATGTGATACATATATATATATATATATATATATATATATATATATATATATATATAAAAGTGAAAAAGAACACTTATTTCTTGGGAAAGGATTGAAATTAAATAAAAATATAAAAAATAAATAAATTGAAAACAGAAGAGTAACGGACGATAATATAAATCATTAAAATATTGATTTAGAAAATAACAAGAATAAACTATCGTTAGAATAAAACGATACTTAATAGTTAAAACATTAAAGATTCAAAATTAATATTATTAAATGATATATTATTATAGACAAACGTATTAAATTAAACGTATAGGAATATACCTACATATATAATGTTCATATAGAATTAAATAGAAATAGAAAATAAATGTATGTACATATAATATACGAATTAATAAACATCGAAACGAGAAAGAAGAAGGAAGAAAAAGGATGATAAAAGACGATAAGAAAGAGAGAAAGAGAGAGAGAGAGAGAGAGAGCAAGAGGATGATACGGATTCTACGGAAAGAGGAAGCTGCCAAGAGGATCGTTCGAAAATAAAGGACATTTTTGTGGCGTGCGGTTATCGGAGGACCGAGGTTACCTCCTTCCTCCTTCCCCTCACCTCCTCCCACTAGACAATGTATATATGTTTATGCGTATACGAGAGAGAGAGAGAGAGAGAGAGAGAGAGAGAGAGGAGGTGAAACTTTGCGGATAATATCGTCGGGAATATTCTCCATGTTAACGCATACACAGAAAGACATAGGCGGCAAGCGTTTAGTATTCTTGAGAGTTGCACTTAGCATCCGGTCAACCGGTCAACACCGCTCCCTTCGTTGCCATAGAACTTCCATACTTTTTCCGTTCGTTTCAATCGTTAATACTTATGTATGTGCCGTTTTGCTTTTTACCTTTTTCTGTCTCTTCCTCTCTTTCTCTCTCTCTCTCTCTCTCTCTCTCTCTCTCTCTCTCTCTCTCTCTCTATCTTTCTTTCTCAAATCGACTTTTCTTTCCAGTTGTACGAAGGGACCTTGGAACGAACAAAATTGCAGCTACAAGATATCATAATTGCATATATGTATATACTTTTTATAATTCAGTAATCAAGCGCAAGGCTTATACGTGTACATGTATACGTATATTGTGTTACACGTTAATACGTTGCGAATGACGTATATTGATATCTCTTCGCTCTGTTTGTGATATTTCTTCGTTTTTCTTTGCGTTTTTTCTTTCTTTTTTCTTTTTTTCTTTTCCTTTTTCTTTAGTTGTTTTATTTATTTATTTATTTTTCTCTTTTTTTTTTTCAGTTCCTTTTTAAGTTCTTCAATCGTGCATCTCTTCTCCGACATTTATTTAAATTCATACGTTGGATACCAAAGACTTTCATAATAGGAGCAACAACATCCTCTGTTATCTTTTAAGATCGATCTTAATAAATGAGATTATTTCTTTCAACGTTGTTAATAACGCGTCGCGAACGTATTTACGATCGTATGTCAAAATGTAATTACAAATTCTTTTCTTTCTTTTTTTCTTTTTTTTCCTTTTTTTTCCTTTTTTTTTTTTTTTTACTTTTTCTCCTTTTTTCTTTTTCAATCTCTTCGAGGATTTTATTCGACGAAGATTTAAAACAAAATCGATTAATCTATTAAACTTTGAAAATAAATAATAAATAGATCTGAAGGTGTACAAAATGATATTTAGAGATTCCGACGATTTACTTTGTTATTTATCTGGTAGGTGTTATTGGAGGAAAAAAAAAAAGAAAAAAAAGAAAAAAAAAAGAAAGAAGAAAAGAGAAATTGATTGAATTACGATAATATCGATTAATTAATATTTACATATATATTATCGAAATTGTAATTGAACGTTATAAGCTTTAAAATAGAGGATCATCGAGAGTTTGACGATTCGTTGTTATAACAGTCGTCTGTCTGTCTCGTTCCTATCTCTCCTTATCGATTATCGACAAACGAGACTTCGCGTTCGTCAGGGTCGATTCCGTCGAGAGGAGAAAATGCGAAGTTTAAACCGGATTCACTGTTGGGTAAAATCGACTACCGTAAAGAGTTCGTCCTTCCTCGAATATCTTAAAGAAAGACGTAAGTAAGCGATAAACGTGTACGCATACACGTAAATTATGTACTTGGATAGATTTTCTTTAATAGAAGAAAAAAAAAAAAAAAAAAATGATATTCTTTATTTATCCTCGTCATCTTTCGTCGTCATCGAGTAACGAGTACGCTAATTCGTTTCGTTATATTTCGAAAATGCGTCTTAGATTTTTTTCCTCTGCTTTCAAAGTAATGCACATAAACATATACACACATACGCACACGCGCACGCACACGCACTCTCGCATTTATGATTTATAATTTTTTATGTTTGTATGACTTTGAAATAGGAAGATAGAGAGAGAAAGAGAGAGAGAGAGAGAGAGAGAGAGAGAGAGAGAGAGAGTGAGAGAGAGAGAGTGAGAGAGAGTGAGAGAGAGAATAACCTCACGCGTCATCTGTGCGTTTACACAAATAAAAAGTTTGGACGACAATTTTGCGATAGAAAGAGAGCAAGATAGGGAGAGGGAGAGAGAGAGAGAATAGATAGAGTTATATCTAAGCGAGCTTCCGACTACGTGAAAAGTACTAAAAATATATCGTAAATAAAACGAGCATAAATATAATATTTATACACATATTTACGTACCTATGTATACCTACAATAGTAATATGAATAAATATTATATAATACGTTTCGATAGTGCTCTTAGTATAAATTATGTCGTTTAACGAAAAATAACATATATCGTGGATATCAAAAAGTCGTGACATAGTACTCCTCTCTTTGCTCGTCGTATATTTCCTATGTTTTCCTCGATTTTTCATGTATAAGATCCGTTGATCTTTACTACCCGCTTTATCCTCTTTCGAATACGTTAGAGATAAAAAAAGAGAGAGAGAGAGAGAGAGAAAGAGAGAGAGGAAGAGGAAGAGAAAGGAACATGCGCATAAGCAACAGAGGGAAATAGACGAACATGATTAAAGAAAGAAAGAAAGAGAGAGGGAGAGAGAGAGAGATGCATTATTACGCACTCAATGTGGTTCAGGCGTAGAAAAGATTATTTTGACGAAAAAAGCAGAAAGGTGATCGTGAATGTTGGTCCGTACACGTAAACTTACCGCCCTATACCAATCCGCCCCCACCGCCCGGTAGAACATTCTCTCCATATCCTCCTTTTCCTCCTTTCTCATTCGCTTCGCAACGTCGATTTTTTACGAGGTCGTATCTCGAAGTTTTAGTGTATGAGAGCGCGTAGAAAGAAATCATTTTTACGACGGTTCACGAGTACCAACTCTCGCACTTTTGGGGAAAATAAAAAAAAAGGATACTGGGAAAAAAAAATACATATATATATATATGAAAAGAAAAATCGCCGAGAAGGTATAAATATATATATATATATATATATATATATATATATATATATATATATATGTACAGTACGTACGTAAGTACCTACGTACGTATGTACGATATAAAGGGCTGTTCACAAAGGTGAAAACATTATTAAACGATAATATATGAACGATAATTTTAGAATATACATATATATGTTTAGAATAACATATATATATATATATATATATATATATATATATATTACATATATGTATAGATATAAATATAATTAACAACATTTATATTTACATTCTACATTACATAGATACGTAGATGGATAAAGAGCATATAAATAAGGAGAATGGTCATCGTCGAATTTCATTTCGCACCTGCCGGAGTAAAAGCGTTTTGCGCAATCGATCGTTCGACCGACCGACCGACCGACCGACCGACCAAACCGACCGATCATATGTATGATCGATCGGGATGGATCGATCCGTCGCAATCTATCGTTGGGAACTAACATGAACGAATCGATCCAAAAAGAATCGAAGTCTTTAGCGGCACGTGCGAGAGCAATGTATATAATAATGGGGTACCGGCCAAAAGGCACGAACAATTTGATAAACACAGCTGCGTGTTTTAAGGAAAATCCTTAAGGGCTGGTAGAATCGTCGAGCTGTCTCTCACCTTACCTTGAAAAGAGAAGAAGAAGAAGAAGAAGAAGAAGAAGAAGAAGAAGTGGTGAAGAAGGAGGAGGAGAGGAAGGAGGAGGAGGAGGAGGAGGTGATTAGCGAGAAGCTTTAAGGGACTCACTCTCTATCTCCCTCTCTCTCACTCTCTGTCTCTTGCCACCCACTGGGGTGTTCTCTCTCTCTCTCTCTCTCTCTCTCTCTCTCTCTTTCTATCTCCATCTCTCTTTCTTCAAAGGCAAGTAATCGCGAAGGAGAGAGGGCTCGCGCGCGCGTGCGGATTGGCCGCAGAGAACGGAGCGTGATCCCTGTGGTGGGAGGACCGAACGAGTGAGTACGACAGAGATAGAGTGGGAGAGAGAGAAAGAGAGAGAAAGAGAGAAAGAGAGAGAGAGAGAGAGAGAGAGCGCCGTCGGCGCTGGATTCACCAGCTGTGCGCGCTAGTATACAGCCAGGAGTTCGGTCGCGGCACGAGTCAGTAGCACATGAGCGCTCGCCGAGCGAGTATCGTTCCGTCAAGCGGCTCTCGCCCGGGCGATAATGTCACCGAGTGATCGTCGAGCGACTACGAGAGGATCTTGAAAAGAAATATATATATATATATTTATTAGAGGATACGTGCAAAAAAATAAACAATACGAAATATTTATAAATAATAAAATATAAACGTGTACTATATATATATGTATACGTATATATATATATACACGTGTATATAATATTATACATATATATATATATATAAACGTGCGTGCAACGAAAAAGAGAAAAAGAGAGAGAGAGAGAACGATAAGATATCGTCGATATTCCATCGACGGGTTCTTTTTTTTTTTGTCTTGGCCAACGAAAAAAGAAGACGTCAAAAGGTACGATAGAAAGAAGAAAACATTTTTGAAGAGGTGGCGGCGGAGGAGGTGAAGAAGAAGAAGAAGAATAAGTGAGAGTGAGAGGGGAAAAAAAAATAAAAGAAGCGAATCGCCGCGTCGGAACACGCGCCAGGAATTGTCTCTAATACTAAAAGCGTGTTTTCTTCCGCAAAGGGGCGCGCGCGCGCGCGCAATCATCGTCGTATATACACATCCATTCGCCGCATTCAAGAAAGGAAAAGTAGAAAGTGTGCGAAAAGGACGACAATTTCGTTGGCTAAATCCGTTTGTAAAAAGGGGGCAAGGGAAAAAAAAACAACATAGATAAAGAGAAAGATACGAAAGAAATAAAGAGAAGTTTAGGAGAAAAAAAAAAGGATCTTCACGTAGAGAACGAGTCACGATCACATCTCTATATTTCATCGGTGGTCTTCGATTCGAATTGATTTTTCGCGAACTCGAAGAGAAAAGAAGAAACAATAAAGAGAAGAGTAGAAAAGAGAAGGGGAAAAGAAAAAGAAAAGGATTAAGTTAGAACAAAGGATAGAAAGGGAGAGATTGATCCTCGTTATTTTCTTCTCCTGTTTTTCTTTTCCCATCCCGACGGAATTTACGTTTTACGTAAAGGGAGGAGAAAGGAAAGAAAGAGAAACAAACAAAAAAAAAAAGAAAACAAAAATAATAAAAAGGAAAGAAGAGTAAAGGCAAAAAAAGGATTTAATATTATTAATTATTGCTATTATTATTAATTACACTTGTATATTTTTGTTTGTATGAAAAAAAAAAAAAACAAAAAAGATTCCTGAAGTGTGTTTTCTATACGATATAACAGATACATAAATATAGAGTATATACATATATACGTACATATATATATATATATATATATATCATTATAATTATTATTATCAATTGTCGAGTCACCAAGAGGAGATACGCGCGATAGTTTGCCAGCTGGTATAGTGTGGTGATAACGATCGTCGATTTATTAATTTTGCTTAAGGAAAAGTGGAAAAATATAAAGTGAGAGAGATAGAGATAAAAAAGAGAAAGAGAACGAGCGAGCGAGCGAGATAGAGGCTTGCTGCGACGTGTGTTTAAAAAATAACAAAATAAAATAAAATAAAAAGTAAAAAAGAAAAAAAAATAAAAGAACGGCCCAAGAATGGTGCCACAACAGCAGGACAGCCCTTCGAGCTCGGGTATACCGATGTTTGGATCTTTACTTGTGGATAAAAATTCGGCCACGCCGTACTCGGATGCTACACAGGTAAGAAGAAGACGGCATAATTTTATTCATTTATTTATACATTTGTTTATTTAATTCATTTTATTTTACTTTTTAATTGTAGTAGTAGATTTGTCTCAATTCGTCATTCTTCTCCTATTTCTACCTATCTTTTTTTTTTTCTTTTTTTTCTCGTTTCGATTTTTCTTCGCTTTTTTATTCTTTTTTCTATTTTTTTTCTAAATTTTTCTCGATCGAAGAAAAATAGTAAGATGAAATGCTATAAATTATAAGAGAAAAAATATAAATCGAAATACAATCTTCCAACGAAGAAACTCTCTTTAAGCCGTGCCGTGCCGTGCCGTACCGTACCGTGCTGTGTTGTGCCGTAATGTGTCGTGTCGTGTCATGCCGTGCCGTGCCGTGCCGTGTCGTGCGCCAAGACCTTGACAATGATTCCACGAATATACTATGTATGAAACAGTTAAGAGTGAGAAGAGAAAGATAGAGTAAGAGAAAGAGAGATAAAGAGGAGGGAGAGAGAGAGAGAGAGAGGGAGAGAGAGAAAGAGAGAAAAGTCAATAGTCAATACGATCTCGAATGATTTTTTTATTATTATTATTTTTAATATTATAAAGCGGAAAATTGATAGCGGCGAAGCATCTGTGCGCTCTTCTCTTTGGGACGTCGGCGTCTGCGTCGGTCTTTTTGATCTTCATAAACGTTTGTATAGTAGTATATCTTTCTTTTTTTTCTTCTCTTCTTTCTATTTTTTTTTCTTTTTTGTTTTATTTCCTGAAATTGTCCTCTTTCTCTATCACATTTCACATTCGTTCTCGTAATAAGAAGACTGTCTTTTCTTATTTTCTTTCTCTCTCACTCTCCTTAACCCTGAGGGAGGATGATGATGATGATGATGATGATGTGATGATGATGATGATATAAAGAGCGCATGAGTTGTTATTACGATTTCTCAAGTTTAATACAGTCGGAAGAATCTAAACATGTTCGCATTTCGGAATAGAAATTCTAAGAAAATCATTCTCGGATTATCGTTTAAAGGTAGTATAGTGTAGTATATGTAGTAGTAGTAGTAGTAGTAATAGTAATAGTGGTAGTAAGCATAACGCATTGACGAAAGTCATTCTTGGCTAGTCGCCGACGCCAATCGTCGGAGATATATATTAGCTTGGAAAATCATTCTGTCGCGTCGGTTGATTGCGCTCGATCCCTCGATCACTCGATCTTTTACGGGTTCGACTAAATTTCCCTCGTACTTTTTCGTATCTTGTTAATATATTGTAATATACGTATATACTAAATATCATACATATACATATTTGTATATGTATCCTCTTATGTATATACCTGTTTCAAGTTGACGGTTCTATATTACGGTTGGGAGAAGAAAGACGTATTTAATGTTTATAAACTTTGCTCCTCTCGAATTCCCCGTGTTATCCTCGAAGCAAAACAATGTTTCCGTTCTTTTCTTTTACCTTTTTTTTTTGTTTCTCCTTTTTCTTCTTCTTGTTTTTCTTTTTTGTCACATTATTATTATTATTTTTATTTCTTTTTCCTTTCTTTTTTTTTCTTTTTTTTTTATTTCCTTTCTTTTTATCTCTTTCTTGGTTCGTCCATCGTAATTTTGCATCTTTCATCTATCTATTTATCTATTTATATATATCTCTCTACCTCTTTCTATCTATATTTGTATCTTTTTATATATATATATATATATATATATATATATATATCGCTCTTGCTCTAATACGCAATTTCGTTGATGTGACGGTCGTTCGAAGTCGATGATCATAATCTATATTTCTCATCCGTCCGAGATTCGCTGAACGATGACGACTTTTTCGGAGAGTATGGCATGGGTTAAGTTGAAAAAGAATAAGAAGAAGAAGAAGAAGACGAAGAAAAGAGAAAAAAGAAATAAGGTGTGATGTTTATCGCGCGTAACCTCCTTCGTATCTTGGAGGATAGTAAAGTTCGTTAGGTTTGTTTTCGTCCTTTTATCTTTCTGGGAGACTCGAAAAGAACTTTTCGAAAGGAGGAGAGTGAGAAATAATGTTTGATTGTTATCGAGGCCCGGCCCGTTTCGATTTCTACGCGTCATTCTCGTCGCTTGTTTTTCCTTCTCATTTATTATTTTCTCTCTCTTTCTTTCTCTCACTATATATATACCTGTATATATATATATATATATATATATATATATATATATATATATATATATATATATATATATATATATATATATATATACATACTTCGTTCACCTATTTTCTTTTTGTCGTATCAATCAACGTGTAATACACGACAGTAGTGAAGAATTCGGTCGACGATTAGACAGAAATTGCGTCATTTTAATGACTTACGAGAATAAAGGAGAGGGAGAGAGAGAGAGAGAGAGAGAGAGAAGGTTGGGTGGGAGGGAGGGATCAAAAAATGAAATTCAACTATCGACGATGATTTATCGAGCGTCGATTTCTCTCTCTCTCTCTCCTCTCTTCTTAAAAGCAATAAGCGCCTAGCGATTACGCGATATCATAGATTTCTACCGGACACGAAGGAGAAAGAAAGATAGAGAAAGAGAGAAGGAGAACTCGGAAATTTCGAAACCCCCTCCTTCTCCCTTGATCTCTGTCCTACAATCACTCTCATCTCGTATTTGTAAATCGATCTTTTATACAACGGCCCAAGGTGCTTTACAATATTTCCTTTTTTTCTTTTCTTTTCTTTTCTTTTCTTTTCTTTTCTTTTCTTTTCTTCTTCGTAACATAACATTCGCCGCGCGACTCATCATCACCGTGGATTCTTCCATGGATTATATTTTTATATTTATCTCTAACTCCGTATTTTCTTTTCTTTCGAATGTTTTACATGATGCCCAGGGAGAAATGGAAGAGGGTGGAGAGAGGAACATCGCACTAACTATATAATCGCGACGAGTAATTTTCTTTTCGTTTAGTCAACGAGAATGAGGAACTAAATATATGGATGAAAATATGAAATTTATATGAAATATAAATCACGTCTCTGATTAATCCTTATTTTTACTTAATCCATCTTTATCGTCGATTTTTCGTTTTTTTTTTCCATAAAAAATATATTTATACAAAAATATATATATATGTGTGTGTGCGTATTTGTGTATGTGTGTGTGCGTGTGTGCGCATGTGTGAAAGTTAACGGTATCATTTCGAATTGTCTTTAATTCACGATTAGTTCCATCAAATTTTTACGGTTTCGAAACTCTACCAAATTTTTTTAGCTGTCCTATATAATTATCATGAATAGATAGAATCTCTCTCCGTCTCTCTCTCTCTCTCTCTCTCTCTCTCT